AAAAACAACAACAAYAATAACTWTTTTTAAAAAAATGTGATTATCTATACTATTAATACACAGTCTATAGTATGTCTCAGTCATTATAATCACTCATTTTTCATATGCCAAACCCTAAACAGGAATGTCGTGTTATTGTTGTTGTCATTATCATTATTAATACAGAGAATCTACTGTATATATATATTGTATATATTATTATAATAATGCTATTATTATTATTATCTATGAAATTAAAAAAAAAATTTGAAAATAAAATTGAAAACTCAATTATTTCCAAGTATTTAGCTCTCAATTATTAGTAGTATTAGTAGTAAAAAAAACTTTTACTAACAAAATATTTCTCACATATATTATAATAATATCAATACTTATTATACTATATATGTAGACTAAAAATATTTTTAGACACACACACACACAAACACATAGACATACATACATACATAGACATACATACATACATACATACATACATACATAGACATACATACATACATACATACATACATACATACATACATACATACATACATAGACATACACACACATACACACACATACACACATATACACACACATATAYACACAYATACACACACATTCAAACACATACACACATAGACATACATATAAAGATTACATACACACATATAGACACATAGATTACATATTAGTGGGTATAGTAACACATGTCATGTATTATTATTWTTTWWAAAAAAAATAACTATATGTAAGCATTTAAGCCTAATCATTGATTATTTTTTAAGTACAGTATATATATACAGTATAATAGCAMCTGGCATTTGACTGGCATATAATATGTATATATATTTTAATTTGAGTTTATTTTTTTTTGGTGCATCCGATTTGTGTCATACCTGATGTGTGTGTGTGTGTTGTCTGGTAATAGTGATTAATATACTGTATATATATAGTAAATATATATATATAGTATATATATATATATATATAAAAAATAAATACAAAACCGGAGACGATTACCGACATTCTTGAAATTGTTTTATATATATATATATATATATATATATATAGCTATTATTATATATATATATATATATAATATTTTTACACAAAAAATAAATAAATAATTATAATTTATAGTTATTTATTATATATATATATATATATATATATAAATAGTGAAAGATCCGGTAAATTTATATTTTATTTTTTATTTGAAAATTTATATCAWTWTAGAAATTTATTTTTATAGATATTTTTGTTGTTTTGTTTATTTAAATATCAAAAAAAAGTAAAAGTTATTACATTTAAAACAAAATTAATAAATAAATAATAGTATTTTTTTWAAAAAAAAATTTATTAACATGTWATGTTTTACAGCAATTAAATATTTTAATTAATAATAATAATATATAATATACTACAATATTTATTATTTTTGATTAGAAAATATTTATTAAAAATTATACATAAAATTATATWTTTTTTAGATATATATAATTTAAATAATATATATATATAATAAATAATAATAACAAATATATAATATATATATACAGTATATAATCTATTAAATTTATTTTTACAATAAAATAAAATTATTAATACATMTAAAATWTAATGTACATACAGTACAATACWATACAAATAAAATTWSATAAAAATTSACGCAGGTCAACTAACATGCAATATACAGTATATATATAAACATAATATAATATAGTAGTAGTAATATGTTATACAATATATATATATATATATACTACTATAGATTTTGCGCACTACTARTATTTTATATAATAGATATTGGTTTAGGTTTTTAACTGTACATTTGACACACATATTATATATTATATAATAATAATAATAACAGTAAAACTAAAATACACAGAATATTATACAGAATATTCTTGATCTATATATATATATATATATTCATTCATATAAATTATAGTGAATTTTCTCTCAGTGAGTGTGTGTGTGTGTGTGAGTGTAAACTCATGTKWRTGTTATTGGTTTGTATACAATATATACAGTAGTATTGTATTAACTATATATACATATAAATAATAAAATTATTTATAAAATAAATACTGATTATTATTATTAGTAATTTCTATCAAAAAAAATAAATATATTTTCTATATATGTTTCATAATWTATGTAAATGTTTTTTTTACATTATATATAATAAAATAAAWWWTATATAATATATATATTAATATATAAATAAATAATTTATTAYTACTGTTGTGATTATGACTGTATGTACTAATAATTATATAAATATTATTATGTCTACTATTAATATGTTATGTTTAAATCTACAATCAAATTATAATAATAATAATAAATTTTAACTACAATTTGCTAATAAAAWTTTTTTACATCTATTGTTATCATTGTTGTTATTGTCATTAGTTTATRAAWATAATAATAATAATAATTTTTTTTATATATTAAATATAATATTTACTAATATTTACTGTGGTTGTGCAAATGTTATTAATATTTAATCTATAAATTTATTATTATTATTATTATTARTATTATCATTAATATTAATTTATTTATATTAATGTTTGGTGTATTATTTTTTGAATAATAATAATAAAAATATTCACATATTTTGCATACTCTAAGTTAGTAGTAGTAGTAGTAATATCTGCATAAATAAAATATATTTATTTTATTTGATATRWATATATATATATATATATAAATATATTTATATACAAAAATATTTTTTATTTTAAAAACTGCAGAAAAATTTATATCAATGTTGTTTCATAAATGAAAATAAATAAAATTTTATTCATTGTATTGCATAAAAAAATGAGATAATTTATTATAGTTTTATTTGTCAAAAAATATTTCTAAATAWWTAAATAAATATATTTACTGTATTACATATATCATACTTTATATGTATATATATAATAAATATATTGATATAAAGTAGATATAAATATATTAAATAAAATAAATAAACAAAAAATATTTATATTTTTTCATCAAAAAACTAAAGTATATATATTATAATAATATTGTTGTGAAATACTATTGAGAATATTATATATATTTATATTATAATACTATTTATTATATTGAAAATAAAATAAAACAAACAAACAATCAAAATAAAAACATTATTATTGTTATCAAGTATTGAGTGTTATTATCAATATTTAATATACTGTATAAAAAAATGTTCAATCAATACAACTATAATACCGATAATATATAAATACTATATATWTATATATATTTAATACATTGCTTTTTTTCATCAACAAAATAAATATAAATAAATAAATAACTGTCAATTCAATTCAATTAGACGTAAGTAATAAATTAATAATACTGATAWTATTAATAMTAAATTTATATCTTATATATATATATATAKATTACATAYAGTATATAAAAGTGTAAACTTAATAATTAATTTTAATTAAATAATTTAGACATTAATATAAATTTATAATATAATATATATATTTAATGTGATATTAATTAAAATTTTTAGTCACTGTCTCCTTATTTATCATTTATAATTTAATTAATATAAATATAATTATTTAATATATAAATATATATATTTATATATTTATATAGATTATGTGATTTACAGTAAATCTGATGATTATTTTGTTATAGCATTTAATTACTTAAATAATTAAGTTTTTAATCAGATTTAATTAGATTAAAATAATACATAAATATTTAGTATAATTCAATGCTATTTTATATTAAAATTTTGCATTACATGTTAGACAAATAATTACAGTTATTATTATTTTTGTTAATATATTATTATATTGTATTATATGGAGGTCAGCATAGAGATAACATTTTCATAATTATCTTCTATGCTGACTATGTAAATTAAATATAACTTTAAATTACTGATAAAATGTAAAATAATACTGATAAGTATATTTGTACTCATAATTATGTTTAATAATACTGTATAGGATTTTATGTAGTAATACTATGTAATACTTTTGTGTTATAATACAATTTTAAATACTATTATTTTAATACTTATTGTTATTGTTGTTAATTTTAATTACTATTATTTAATATTGTTGTGGTTTATAAGTGACTAGTGTTGTGCGTTAATACTGAATTTAATACTATTAGATATTTAAGGGATTAATACTATTTTGGTTTCAATACATTGTAAAACAATACTAAGGTAAATACTATTGTAATACTGATTATAATTATTGTTATTTATTGTTGTTATTATTAGTTTATTATTATTACTATTATAATTATACTGACTATTATTATTATTGATTATTATTATTACTATTTTTTGTTACTACAATACTGTCAGGAAAAGATGTTTATATAGTGTCGGTGGCGCCATCTATTGATGGGCACCGACACTAACAAAATTAATTAATAGAGTTGGGAACGGAATTCCCGGTTTCGTCCCGGCGGGACAAACCAGGAGTCCCGTCCCTAAAGGCTTAGTTATATTGAAACGGGATGATTACCCGGGTGACCGGATAATTATCCCGTCTATAATACAAAATATACAACACTATTTTTATTAAGTTGGTTAACACCTAACAGAAACATAGGGAATATTAAGGGAATATATAGGGAAAATATAGGGAATTTTTATGGGAATATTTTATTAAATAATTAATTTCTTTAATACTTATTGGGAATTAAGTATAGTATATGAATTTATATTAGGGAAGGCACGGCATGTTTGCACACGACACCAATAGGTGTTGTGCACAAACAATAAGTCCCATTGATTTTGAGAGTATATAAACTGCTGTAAACCATTCATTTGGTTATGAAGTGTTGGGTTCAGACTTAAACCAGTTAACCCTAAAGAGTGCTTAGGATTTGCATTAAACTGCAAACCTAATAAAATACCATTGGATTACATATAAATTTATTGTACTTTTGTTTTTATTATTATTATTCAAATAAATACTGTTATACTCATTTACAATACGGATTACAATTTATTTTAACTCAACGGTGAGTCGTCAGACTTGGACGGTATCTGTTTACGGATAGGTACCGGTTGTGTTTCATCAGCTCGTATCGGACCGCTGTGGCGTAACAGTGGCTACGAATTAGTGTAACACAACGCATGTGGTGGCTAAAGCGGTGAGATTTACTCAACTATTACCGGTAGCACAGCTCTTTAACTGGAGTTTTACTTACATTACCTGTTATACACCGTCGGTAAGGTTCTTTAAACAGAACCTACCGACTCACACGCTAATCCAAGCACAGTGATGAGTAGACTTTTAAAGCAAAGTCACTCTTCATAAATAGGGCTTAAAGGTCCAAAAAAGATCATAGGCATGTGCATACCGAGGGAATGGTAGCACAGCGCTTTTGTCAACAGAGGATGTCGGTTTAAAAGCTGACACTAATCCTCTGATCTTCTCACCTCACATGGGAGGAATGAGAGCCTTGGTTTAAACCGGCTGAGGGGTGCGAATGACATGTAATGATCGCTGTGATTGACTTAAACGAGTCAACACCTAACTGAGTTCTTAAACTGGAACTCAAAATTTCTACGTCTATCAACTGCAAGGGATGGTAGCTGACAGACGTGTGGACTAAGGACGAACCCAACACTTCATCAAACAACGGCTGTTTTCCGAAGCTCGAGGATGGCTAAACAACAACAACACCCGACTAATATTTAATAAACACTCGACTAATATCTAATAATAAAGACCCGACTAATAATAAACACTCGTTACCATAATAACCCTTATATAATGTTGGGGTATAAACTAATAAACTAATAATTACCACTTAATCTATTAAACTATTGGGGGATAATTGCGCTATTATGACTCATTAAAGCTCGCTGTGATTTAAAAACTATAAATGTATTCATTAAATATAACCATTATTTTTTTTATTATGTTTATAACAGATGTCTAATAATAAATCAAACAGTGACTCTTCTATGGACTCGTATGGAAACAATCAAGGGACAAATGATGCCAACAATAATGTGCCGCTTAATAATAACTCAACTAATAATTCAGTGAACCTACCTTATTGTGAACCGTCAACTTCACGAATTAATAACCCAATCGATCCATATGATATTGAAGTAATTACCATCTCTAGTGATTCAGAAATGGATATAGAAAACGCTGAAGATGAGATAACACCTGAATACTTTTTAAGCACATACAGTGATTATAGACATCCAACAAATCTGACAACTCTAAGAAATAATCTATACTCCGAGTTAATGGCATATGAATGTTACGACGACTTCTATGATTCAAATGATGCGGATGACGAGAATGATACAAGCAATGCAGATAATGTAATTGAAAACGCAACAAACGAAGAAGACGCCGATGTAGTTGACACAGGAATTGCGGATGAAATCAAACCAGTACTCATTGGTATCAGAGATAACACGGAAATAAAAAATGAGCCACAATTGAACCACCAAATAGGAGCAGTAGTTAATCAAACACCAGCAACACATTATGGACAATCAACCGACGATGTATTTATCGGACAAAACAGTGAATTTAATTTCAGTGTACCATTTGGCTCTACTTTTGACGCGTATAACAGACTTAGATGTTCTGTTAGTACCTTTAATACTGGATATCAAAAACTTTTCATTGGACTTAACTCTGGACAAATTGCAGCATTTAATAACGGATCACTAAGACCAATATATTTTAAACTACAACAGAAAATGAACGCACCGATAAAAATTATTAAAAGTGGTGTTAAAATTAATCACTTATTAGCAGCGACTGACAACACAATTGCATATTACAACGAATTAAATGGACAACAAATCTATTCTCACACATATAAAGTTGGTAAAATTATTTCAATTTTCAATGAATGTCACCGTAAATTTGTTATTATCACAAAAGAAAAGTTTACACAAATTGACGAATTAATATTTAATGACAACATCTTAGTGAATGTACGCTACGCAACAGGTATTGCAGGAGAGGCTGAAGGGATCGCATTTGATGCATTATCAAAACATAATACATCGAAAGACGGACAATCAATTTTCACATTACGAGCAATATTATTATTAAAAACGGACGAGAGAAAAGTGATACAACTTAAAGTTTATGAAATAGAAATTACTGGTAATGTCATCAAACAAAAGTTTAAAACTCCTGTTGTAATTAATGGTAACATAGCAGCCGAACACAAAATGGTGGTAACAACGAATTATATTATTTTGGCAGAACTGTTTAATCCAGATGTTCCAACGACTTCAAGGAATATTCAAATCTATCGAAACGATACGCTCCATAAATGTTTTAGTTGTACACTTGGCGCACCAATAAGAGATATTGTTTGGAGCAAAAATTATCTTCCTTTAATAACTGAACTAATGCAAATTGACATAATGAACTTAAATGATTTGCAAAGAACATACTTGGTCTCATGTGAACGACCTATTATCAAAGCATTAATAACGTCAAACAACAATCAAGCAACAAATGAATCACAACTGGGTATTTTATACTTAGGAACTGATTCAGTACTTCGACATAAAAACCTTAAAGACTTTTTAATAACTAAAGAAACAAAAATTGTGAAAGTCAACAACCGAATGATGATAGCGCCGCCAAAGGACTTGGGAATGATAAGAATTTCAAGCACCGAATCTAAATTATCACCATATTATTATAGAGCATTAGCAAACTATTATAATATAGAAATAAACGATTTTGTATATCACACTGTAACTGTAGATAAAGAATTAATTTATATAATTATTGTTAGTATCCCAATGTTAAACATCAAATTTAGAATTGAAGGACCGACTACGGAAGCCGTTCGCGAAACAGCAGCTGTTCGATGTCATAAAGAACTTCAAATAAAATTAATAGATTCTCAATATTTATTTGATTAATTCAAAATACTTTTTGTAATATTTATTTTCAATTTTACAAAAAAATTAGTAATAAATGGTTTATGCAATTTAATAAATTGTCTAATATTAATCGACATAAAATAAATCAAAATTATTAAATACTGTTTTCTAATTAAATACTAATTAAAATTTATTTAAACACTAATAAATAAATGTAATATTTATCCAATATGGCGCTAATGATGAGTGTTCGCTTCACCATAACAAGTGAATCTAAAAAAGTAGTTGGAGCTGAAAATTAAAGAAACTGATTATAAAACTGAGAAATAGGAAAATTAACTAACGAATAACCTACGACAAAATTTTAAAATTTATGGAAATGGAAATATTAGAGGATAATTAAGTGCAAATCATTTTCGACAAAATCGGTCAGAAAAGAGAAAAGAAAAGAGATTACAATTTAAATAATAAAAGACTAGAAAACAAAATATAGTCAATTTAATTGATTAAATAAAAAATTAAGAAGACATCAGGGGATGATGATAACATTTGATTGATCAAGGATTAGATAATGGAAAAGATTATGATGTGAAATAATCGTCGATTTATAATGGTTAAAAACAAAAAATTAATTGATTACAATCTAAAAGAAATCATCATAATCCATGAATAAAAAACTTGCAAAGGTTACACTAAAAAAAATTATTATATGGACTATTACAATAAAGACAAATGAAAAGAGATAATCATCTAACACGGTGGACAACAAAAGCCAGTAGACAACTAATCAAAATGAAAATCGCGATGGATTAAATAAAGGATAAAATGACACATTTAACATCAAATGACAAATCAAAAAATGACACGATGGACAATGTAAATGAAATAAACTTACAATGAAAACTATACTAAACTAATGTTATTTAAAAGGGTGTCAATCAAGTGATATTAACTGAAAAAAGAATAGGTCGACATATAAAACAGTGGTCGAATAATGAAAACAGATGTCAGATAGGGACGACTGATCGATATAAGTAATAGATTAAAGTCTATGAAAACAATTACTGAAATAATAATGAAAATAAATAAAAACGTCTATTGATAATGACCGACAAACATTTGACAAAAATGGTAGACAGACTAAATAATTAACAAAAATGGTCGACAATCAAAAAAGATGACAAGAGATCATCGGAAAGAGTAATTACTGGACTGGTCAATAGAAACAAAATGTGACGGAATAGTCAAAAAGAAAAATTATATATAGAAAATAGTGGTTGTCAGTTTTGGTCAACAGGAAATTTGGAACAAATGACGTCAATGGAAACTACTGTCGAAAGGTGTTGCAAAATAGGAAACAACCGAACAATTAAAATGACTGATAAAAATCATTATGAATAGTGATGTACAAAAATGTGTAGATTTTCATAATTCAAATATAGACAAACAGATCAAATAATCACATAGAATTAACAGTGGATAAACTAAACAGAAACAACATACGATACTATATAGTCAACGGAAAATTCTATAAACTAAACAAATCAATAATAATGTAGTGACAAAATAAATAGTAAACAATATTTTATAAAATACTGGAATATACACAAAATTAAAATTTAAAATAAATTTGGACAATATATAGAGATAAATAATTTACACATTGTAAATGAAAGTATAGTCGACAGCAGTCAGTAGTCAATGATAGAGATAAAAACACATGTGGAAGAAATTTGAAAAGAATTAATCGCTTAAACAAATTAAAACGCTACTTCACAGCGTAACGGATTATATTGCAATATTAGAATAGATGATTGGATCAGCTGAAGAAATAAATTAATTACAACAAATAATGGATGGATCTCTGGAAATGAGTACATAAATACTACAAAAAAAATTCCGATACTTTCAGTTACTTAATAAAGAGATCGATAAGCTGAAACATTTGATGAAATCATCTGATTAATTGGATCCAATAGAGATTAAGGATAAATCTCTATGAATAAGTTGTTAATGGAGTCAAAGCAAATTACGTCATTGTACGTCAAGTTTATACTGTGTATTTTAAGTAAATTAAAATTGAATAGCGCGATAAACTTATTTTAGTGGCCACTGGTAATGTCGGGGACATTGAGTAAAATCTCGGATAGATTTTACGGATACAAGTTCATTGTTATTTAAATGTCGTTAAAAACAATTATATCTAATAAATCACATTTAAATCTAATAACAGTTATAATCTTTAAAACTACCAAAAATACAGAATATTATAATCACAGTTAATAATCTATTTAATAAAACAGACAATATAGTTCAAAATTTATGTTAATGACAGTTTAAAGAGAAATAGTTAAAATCATATCGGATGAATGGACTTGGGATTTGGAAGAAAAAGTCAAGAACTTTAAAATTGCTTTGAGCTCAACAAAAAAATAAGACTCCATTACACTTAAGAAATAGACGGTTTGAATGACTTCCGTCTGGAATAAGGCCTTCTGTATGTTTCGTTATCGTGTTAACGAATCACGTTATACAGGATATGCTGATATGCTCCGGTTTGAGCATATGTTTGCGCAAACGGTTGAAGAAGGGCTCGTTGTTTCAATAGACAGAACTGATCACTCTTGTTATTGAAACCATATTTACTAATAAAACAATTTACAAAAATTATGATGAAAACAAATATTCAAAAAAAGCTGATACAAAGAATACAATGGATAACTTTAAAGTTAAAAGAGAATTAACTGTATTTGAGCCGTACAGTGATGTAAGGAGGGACAATAAAAAGTTAACAAGGATAGAATAGTCGACATTCTTGATGTTAAAAGAAATGATGAACAAAACGAAAAGTAAAGACATCGTTGACTAAACGTAATCGAAAAAGTAACTAAAGGGACTATTAACGATAAGGATAAGGACAAGAAAATACCATCTAAAATGGCCGTTATTGGGATACTGGGGGACGCCTTAGCATTCAATGACAGGATTGGATTAATGAGAGTCATAAGAAAAGTATAAGATCATGGACGAAATAGGAAACGGCAATCACAAGAAACGTCAACAACAAGAAAAACAACAATAAAGGATTAGTCAACGCGGTCTTAAAGGTGATATCAATCGACGGTAACATCAGCAGACAACGCGAGGGGATGGTTGTTTCTGAGGACAGAAACGTTTTAAAGTGAGGGGAAATGTATTATATGGAGGTCAGCATAGAGATAACATTTTCATAATTATCTTCTATGCTGACTATGTAAATTAAATATAACTTTAAATTACTGATAAAATGTAAAATAATACTGATAAGTATATTTGTACTCATAATTATGTTTAATAATACTGTATAGGATTTTATGTAGTAATACTATGTAATACTTTTGTGTTATAATACAATTTTAAATACTATTATTTTAATACTTATTGTTATTGTTGTTAATTTTAATTACTATTATTTAATATTGTTGTGGTTTATAAGTGACTAGTGTTGTGCGTTAATACTGAATTTAATACTATTAGATATTTAAGGGATTAATACTATTTTGGTTTCAATACATTGTAAAACAATACTAAGGTAAATACTATTGTAATACTGATTATAATTATTGTTATTTATTGTTGTTATTATTAGTTTATTATTATTACTATTATAATTATACTGACTATTATTATTATTGATTATTATTATTACTATTTTTTGTTACTACAATACTGTCAGGAAAAGATGTTTATATAGTGTCGGTGGCGCCATCTATTGATGGGCACCGACACTAACAAAATTAATTAATAGAGTTGGGAACGGAATTCCCGGTTTCGTCCCGGCGGGACAAACCAGGAGTCCCGTCCCTAAAGGCTTAGTTATATTGAAACGGGATGATTACCCGGGTGACCGGATAATTATCCCGTCTATAATACAAAATATACAACACTATTTTTATTAAGTTGGTTAACACCTAACAGAAACATAGGGAATATTAAGGGAATATATAGGGAAAATATAGGGAATTTTTATGGGAATATTTTATTAAATAATTAATTTCTTTAATACTTATTGGGAATTAAGTATAGTATATGAATTTATATTAGGGAAGGCACGGCATGTTTGCACACGACACCAATAGGTGTTGTGCACAAACAATAAGTCCCATTGATTTTGAGAGTATATAAACTGCTGTAAACCATTCATTTGGTTATGAAGTGTTGGGTTCAGACTTAAACCAGTTAACCCTAAAGAGTGCTTAGGATTTGCATTAAACTGCAAACCTAATAAAATACCATTGGATTACATATAAATTTATTGTACTTTTGTTTTTATTATTATTATTCAAATAAATACTGTTATACTCATTTACAATACGGATTACAATTTATTTTAACTCAACGGTGAGTCGTCAGACTTGGACGGTATCTGTTTACGGATAGGTACCGGTTGTGTTTCATCAGCTCGTATCGGACCGCTGTGGCGTAACAGTGGCTACGAATTAGTGTAACACAACGCAATATATATAATTATAAACAATTTTAATTAAATTTTAAAAGTTTAATATTGAATATTGTTTTTTTAGTATTATTTGAGAGTTACCCAATTAAATTATTGAATTATAGGGGAATAATATATACAATAATATGATAATTGTATTATACATACAGTATAATAATTGCTGCATATTTTTAGTAGAAAAAAATCATAAATAATATTTTATATTATATATATATATATTGCGTGTATCCATAAATTATATTTAACTAATTGGTTTGTATAATAATTAAGTAATAAATATATTTGTACTATATTTATGCCACAAAAAWAATTGTGTTATATATTATCATATATATATATATATAWAAATATTAATAACTAATTTTTTAGTTACACCTTAATGTAATTGATTTAGTAAATTATTAACAAATAGTAGACAAACATATAMTCTATAATATAATWAAATTAWAAAAWTTTAACTAAAATTAAAAAATCAATGTAATAACTAGAATTKTATTAAKATATATATATATATAATTTATAAATAGTTTRCTATTTTTWAAAAATTTTTATATGCATATTTAAAATAAATTAAATAATAAATTTTTAAAAATAAATTTTATATTTTAAATACCTGTATAAACATCATTATATTGTTTTAATAGTTTGTATTAATTTAAATAAAATRATATTCAATAYACTTATAAATAACAAGCAATTAGTAGATAATTAAAATAAAAATAAATAATTTTTTATTTTTATTATTATCATATTATAAGTTATACAATGCATATATATATATATATATAATCGATAATATAAACATTAACTTAAATAATAAATTTTTTRTTTTWTTTTATAGCTMTAATAATTAATTTTATGTTTACTACTAGTAAAATAAATTTCATGGATTTTCAATACTGAATATAAATAATTAATTTMTAGTATAAATAAATAATAATAAAACTATACTATACTTATTATGTTAAACAATGATAACTGTATATAATATTYATTAAATAGTGAAAGAGATTTTTTTAAATTTATTGTTTGTTATGTAATAAAATTTACTGAAAAAAATAAAACAATAAATATATATAGATTTATAWCAATTGATTTCAATCAACAAATTTAGATACAATTTGATATTTTAACATCAATTTATATATCTATAAATAAATTATTAATATTAATATCATATAAAATAAGACAATAAAAAAATTGTTGATTTATTTGTTTGTATWGTTTTATGTGATTTTATTTTTTTTTGTTCAATAAATAAAACATTGTTTAACACATAAAAATTGTTTAGTAAATTATTTATGAATCAATATATTATCAGTTTGTTTTGTTTTATAACAAATAAATAAATATTATTTAATTTAAAAAATTTAAAAAACACAACAAACTAGATATTTATAGAAATAATATATTTAAAATTTTATTTCAAAAWTTTTATTAATTAATTAGATTAAAAATTATTAATTATTTTTTTACAAAAAACATATGATATATACTTTTTRTAGCAATTTTACTAAACTGTAATTAACTAAATATTAATAAATATATATATTATAAWTTTAATWTTTTTTGTATAAATATTWGTTAATTTGATACTTTAATATATCTTTTATATTTAATATTTTTACAAAAACTAAAAAAAAATCAGTTTTTAGTTAAATAACAATTTATTAATAAATKTTTTATTTATAATTTTAACACATAATTAAATGATATAATTTAATATTAGAAATATTTTTTTTATATTTATAATACTGTATAATACTGAATATAAATTGCTTATCAATTAGATATTGTTTTTTTTAAAAAAAAATAAATAAATAAAATACTTATACAAATAGCTACAAATAAAACTAAACATAACATTTTACTTAATCAATTTGATTTAACCAATTGACGATATAATACATTAAACTAATAAAAATAAATTGTTTGTTTTGAAAGTTAATTGAATTGRAGTTAATATACACACAAATAAAAAACATGTTTTATTTTGCAACAAAAATCTAACGTCAATTATAATTATTGATTTTCGTCTATTTAAATGWAAAWTGAAATAAATAATTATTTTTAAAGCAAAACAATTTGTTTTATTATTTATTTAATAGACATTTTTGKTTGTCATTAATAAAAAAAAATTCAATAACAAAATACTAATATATCTATARTTATTTATTTTATAACAAGTTATATATATAGTATTGATAAATTAAAATCATATAACAATTTTATTATATATATATTTAGATAAATATTTATATTATATAATTAAAATAAATCATAGATTAATATGTGTTGTTATTGTTATTACTGTTTGTTATTATTTAATTTATTAATAAAATATACTAAATTATTAAATTATTTATATTATATTTTAATTAAAAATAGAGATTAACTATGTGTTTGTATTATTTGTATGTTTGATATGAAACTTAAATTTAAATATTTAAGTAATAATAAAAATTATTTTAGTATATTTATAAATTATATTAAAGTTATAAATTATTTTTGTTAAAACTGTAATTAATTTAGAAAACTAATTTAAATTATTTAGTTAAAAATTTAATTTACTATTAAATAGTTTACTAAAAAATAGTAAAATATTATATTTAGATATTAATATAAATGTTATCAATATCATTTTTTGTGTTGGAAATATTTATATTATATTAACAAAAACAAATATATTAAATAAAATAATAATATGCTATTATTTTAAAACTAATATATATTATTATATTTTTTAAAATCATTGAACATTATATTGTTTATAGTTTTTAAAAATTAAATTAAAATTGTTAATTATTTAATTAATTACTAGTTAATAAATTAATAACTTTAAAATATTAATGATTCAAAATATATTTATTATTTATTAAATTTTAATACATTTTATTTTATTTTTGATTAATTAATATATTAATTCTATATATATATATATTATATAATCTAGTGATAAAAAACTAGTTATAAATAAATAAAAATAATTAATTTTATTTAGTAATATATATATATATATGCTATAAACAATCATCATATAATCAATAATTCAAATATATATTATATATTATTTTTATATATTATATATATATATATTTATATAATATATAAATGCTGTCTATATTATTGCATGTATGTAKTGAATATTTATGATAAATAAATAAATAAGAAAAAAAAWGTTATGTATGTGTTTTGAATCATTATATTATTATATTATTGTATTGTTTTTATTATTATTATCATAATGATAGTAATATACAGTTTCTACTGTATCATACACTATCTAATACTACTAAACTATTGATTTATTGAATTAACATTTTTTTTTATTWAATAATAATAAAATAAACTAAATAAAATTTTGTTTTATTTGTTAATTAACATTTCTAGAATATTATTTATATATTAAATATTTTCAAACATTTTATCATTTGAATAAAAGTTTATAACTAAATTAAATACCAAAAATTTAATAATAGAARTTTATTGATTTTTAGTAAAAAGTGAAAAACAAATAATTAATTTTTTTAAAAACAACAATATATATTTATTTAATAAATTAARCATTAGWAATTTTTAATAAATTATYAATAAATATCAWRTAAWTCAATTATATAAACATTATTCAAACATTAGATTGTATATTTATTTATTTATTTTTATAACAAAAATATATTTAATTAAGCTTGTACATTTTATATATATATATATATACTATAATAAACAAAACAAAAATRTTTAGAAATTTTAATTGAAATTAATTAATTARTTTTTTGTTTATTTTTATTAGTTTATAGCTTTAGACATTATTTATTATTATTTTAGATTAATTTAGTTTTAATTTAATAAAATAAAAACAAAATAAATACATTTATGTATAGTTAAATATATATTATTTATTTTTATATAGTRTATTATTGTACAAAATATTTGTWTATTTATATATTTTTTTGAATAGTTAAWTAATTTTAGGTTAATTTTAAAAATAAAATCACATAATATTAAAAATAACAATTTATTATGACTGTWTGTAAAAATACATTATTATATTAAAAACTAYATTGTATATTCAAGCTATAAAAATTAAATTAAATTTTATAATAAAAATATTAATTAAAAATATACAGTATATCAATACCAATAAACAATAATTAAAGTTTTTTATTTTAATTTTAATAATTTTTTATACACACAAAAAAATTTAACAAATAATTAGTAATATGTATTGTGTTTTGTTTTATTTTATTAAATTTTGTTATTTATTTGTCAATTTATTGTGTGTGTAATACATTTTTTTCACAATACATAAATACAAAAATAATTGATCTTGTTACTATTTGTTTGTTTGTCTATTTATTSTAATAACTAATTATATTTGTATTTTTTTATAGTAAACAAAATAATTRTTGTTTTCCTATATATATTAAAATAATATACATAAAACCTATTATAATAAATTAAAAAAAAAAACATAAAATATATTAATTAATTAATCAATAATTTAAATTATTGATTATTTAAATAATTTACTTTTATTTTATTTATTATAATAGATTTTCTATAATTAATTTAAATATTATTATAACTAACTATCAGTTARTAATATTAATATCATAGTGTATTAATTTAAATTAATTAAAACAAATTAATATATATTGATTTATATAAATTAYTTAACTAAACTAAATTATATATTAATATAATATTATATACTATTAGCAAACAATTTAACAAATAAGTATATCAATTATATAAATAAAAAAAAATTAAATAAAATAACAAAAAATTTAATTTGTTTGTTGCACTTAGACATTATTATTATTATTATTATTATATTTTTACAAAAAAATAAAAATATTTATTGTTTTCTATACTACTCTCTATAAAAACACAATAATGATATTGTTTAGTTAAGTTATATATAAAAAATAATATTATATATATATATATATAATAAAATGCAATTATATAAGACTCTTATAATGAAATCTCATAAGATTTATATTTATTGTGTATATATATATATATATATACWGTATATTATATTTGTGTTTATCTACTCAACAAATATTTTCATAATACTATTAATATATATATCTATATTAATAATATATATATATATATATATATATCACTGACGCATGAAATAAATAGTATTTTCAATTATATACAAAAAATAGATAAATTGTTAGATTTAAGTTTAACCAAAAAAATAACAATTTTGWGTAAATCTATAATATATTTATTTAGAGTTTAATATGAAATATTATTTATAGATTTTGTTTTGTTTGAAAAATATTTTGGTTTTAATATTATTTTGTTTTTAAATAAATCTAATGCTAAGTTAATATGTTTATTGAAAAAAATAATTATATATTATATATTGTTATAAATAGAAACAATGATTTATATATATATATAGTATACAATTATTTTGTTAAATAAAATTTCAATTTTATASTAGAWATTTAAGTAAAATTTATTGTATTTTAACAATATATTATACTATTATATATATARAATCAAAATTAATRAATAATATCATTATAATATTTTTAATATTACCTAAATAATTAATTTTACATATTATTATTTTTAATATATATATATTACAGTATTATCTTATATTATAAAAACATTTTTAATACGATTATTATATATATATWAAAATTTTATTTTAGAAATAACAATAGAAAACATTATAATATAATTGCATTAATAATTTAATATAAAAATAAATATCAATAAAATATATAATATTTTTGTATTTTAAGTCATTATATAGTTATTTCATTATACAGTACATGATAATAGGATAACAATAAAAATATTTTTATTTTAAAAAAAAGTCAATTATGTTTTATATTATTATACTATTATATATATATATATATATATATATATATATATATATAATTGTAAAAACATAACAAAAAAATAAAATTTTGAATTTACATATTAATATATAAAATAAAGTAAATTTAATTAAAATCTATTGATTTTATTATACATTATCATCAAACATARCATATACCATATAAATAATAATAAARTTATARCTAATAATTTAATTAGCAAAATTTATTTATTAGTTAAATAACTTTGAATTATTTATAAACAAAAATTTTAACATAAATATTATTAGATAATTATTAATTTTTCGTTGGATTATAAACTAAAAATAAATATATTTTTATTTTAATATATTTAAAATAAAAAAATAAAACAATAACATTACTATAAAATAAAAAATATATTTAATAATAATAATTAAATAACATTGTTTAAATATATTTTAATAATAATAATAATATACTTTATTGTAGATATTTTAATAAAATTAATCTATTTTTTAAAAAATAAAAAATTATTATACAATAATTATTGTAAATATTGTCTTTTAGTTTATGTTTTTTTTGAAAAATATTTTCATAATAATAATAATAATAAAATATTTTATAGTTATATTTATTTTTAAAAATTTTTCTATAATAATAATATACTATATTKTAGATATTTTAATAAAATTAATCTATTTTTTAAAAAAATAAAAAATTATTATACAATAATTATTGTAAATATTGTCTTTTAGTTTTAGTTTTGTTTGTTTTTTTGAAAAATATTTTTCATAATAATAATAATATTTGTAAAATGTTCTATTGTAATATTTATTTTTAAAAATTTTTCTATAATAATAATAATATTAATTCATATATTTTTTTAAAAAAAWTTTCAAATATTTACATTACAGTATAAATATATATATATATATATTTATTAAACAATTATGCCATTGGGTCGATATGTGGAAAAATATGAATTGAATGGTAAAGGCAGTGGTAGTGGTGGTACCGGTGGTACTGGTATTGCCGGCACCGGTAGCTATGGATCGATAGCATCGTGCGTCACACAAGAGTCTCAGGTGATGCTGGATCCTAAAAATGTAAATATTATTTTTTAAAAGTTTATTTTTGTTTGTTTTTTGAAAAATATTTTCATAATAATAAAATATTTTATTGTCATATTTATTTTAATTTTTTTTCAAAAAAAAATTTCTATAATAATAATTATTTATTTTGTAATTTTTATTATATATATAGTAATACATAAATATTTATTAATTATTTTTAAAAAATTATTATTTTAAATAAATAGATTTTAAAAATTTTTAAAATTTATATGACTAACAATTTTTAATTCAGTTAACAAAATTATTAATTAAATACTATTATATATCAATTTACAGTTAAATTAATGAACAATAAACATAAATTAATTACATAATGTATAATAATTTACATATATTTATATAATTCATAACACTTTACAATCAATAGTGAATTTTTTATATAATAATATCTAAATTTAAATTTTTTAAAAAAATATTAAATTTAGTTAAACATGTATATATATAAACATGTATATGTAAAAATAWATATATATTTATAAAAATAATGTATTAAATATAATATTAAACAAAAGATAATAATTAATTATTTAATATTATTATTAATTTTTCAAACAAAATATTAAACAATATTTTATTATATTTTATATTATAATTTATTTTCTATACATAAAATTTTATAAGCAAACAACTGTTTTAAAATAAAATCTAAAACAAATTAATATATTTATAATACTATRAAAAATWATAATTATTTTTATTAACAATAATATTATATAAAAATTTTTTTATATATAAATACTATTGTTTTATATATATTTTTTATTACAAAACATTTTGTTTGTTTTGAAATTTTATAGAAATCTTTAAATTTTTATTTATTAATATATTAATTTTTAGCAAATTAATTAATTAAAAAATTGTCATTTAATTAATGTTTTTATAATGTTTAGATTATTTTTWAATAACTTTAAAKAAACATAATTTTTAACAAAATAATATTTTATTACAACTAATAAAACTGTCAAATTTAATTTAAACTTTAAGTTTATTTATTGTTTGTTAATAAATATTATAAAATAGCTTGAGCAATAGGTCAAAAGATTATTTAATTTAGTAATGTTTTTTTTTTAAAAAAAACATAAAAATGATTATTTTAWWAWTAATATAAAATATATTAGCATTGTTTTGACAATTTTTAGATTTTATACATTTTATTAATAACATTWTATTGATAACATTGTTAAAATAAACAATTTAAATTAACAACACTATAGTTAAATAATAACATTAATTGTAATACTAATTAAATACAATAAATAAATAAATAAACTAAATTTTCAATTTACATTTAATTATATTGTATACACAATAACAACAACAAAAAACAATAGAAATAACAATTAAAATTAATATTATTTAAAATAATTTAATTTTGTATTAAATACAATATAATATTCTTTATATAATAAAATAAAACTAACATTTTATTTAAATTAATTGTATTTTATTTTTTATAGAAAAATTTTGATGATGACAGTAGCGATAGTGATACTGTTGCTGGCACTGGTAGCCAACAAAAACAACGACACCATCAAAAATATAGGAAATATGATTTAATTACTGAAAATACTAGTAATAATAATAATAATAATAATACTATTGATGACAACAACGGTGGTGACGATAATTGTATTACATTTAATGACAAAAAAAGACAAATTGGTAATTATTATTATTATTAAACTAATTTTTGTTTGTTTGTTTGTTTGAAAATTAATTTAATTAATTATTTTTAATTTTTCAAAAAAAWTTAAAATTAGACTAACTAATTAGAAATAAAAATCAACTAGTTAATTATTAAATAATTATAAATATTAAAGAAAAATTAGAATTATTAATATATATACATTATTTAATTATTATTATTATTATTATTATTTTTTTAGTCAATACTTCTATCAATATACAGTATACTAATCTTATAAATAAAAATTTAAATATTAAACTTAATTTATTATTAAATTTTCAATTTTCRRTTAACAACAATAACAACAAAATTAATTACGATATTAGAAATACACACAAAAAACAATTACTATTATTGTATTGTATTATTATAGTATTATTAAACTAGAATTATAAATAAATTTTTAATAAAATTATTATTATTTTTTAAAAAAAATATTTATTTATTTTTTTTTTTGATAATTATAATTGTTCATAACTGTAAGTTAATAATTAAAGTATAAGTATTAAAAACATAATTGCTTCAAAATATATGTAATTTAGTTCCTTATGAATTCATCCATGTAATTTTTTAATTATTACAAAAATTTAATATTATAGTAAACAATTTGAAAAATAAAATTCAACTAGTTAATTTTTTTTAGAGAAAATATTAATTATAATTAAAATATTAAAAATACAATATAACTGTATTTATTATTATAATACTGTAGATATATAAATACTTTATTTAATTATTATAAACAAAATTATTTTAGTAATTACTTCTATCAATATACTAATTTAATAAATAAAAAATTTAAATATTAGACTTAAAATTTTGTTTTTTAATTTTCAATTTTGATTAACAACAACAAAATTAATAATGATATTAGAAATACAAATAACAGTTAAAATTTTTGTATTATTAAACTAGAATTATAAATAATTTTTTAATGAATTTATTATTTTTTAAAAAATATATATATTTATTTAATTATTTTTTTGATAATTATAATTGTTTATAACTGTAAATTAATAATTAATAGAAAAGTATAAAACATATAATAATTGATAAAAAATATATAAATTAATGCATTATGAATTCATCCATGTAATTTTTTAATTATTTAAAATTTAATATTATAGTAAATAATTTGAAAAATAAAATTCAACTAGTTAATTTTTTTTAGAGAAAATATTAATTATAATTAAAATATTAAAAATACAATATAACTGTATTTATTATTATAATACTGTAAATAAATAAATACTTTATTTAATTATTATAAACAAAATTTTTTTAGTAATTACTTCTATCAATATACTAATTTAATAAATAAAAAATTTAAATATTAGATTTAAAATTTTGTTTTTTAATTTTCAATTTTGGATAACAACAACAATATTAATTATGATATTAGAAATACAAATAACAGTTTAAATTTTTGTATTATTAAACTAGAATTATAAATAATTTTTTAATGAATTTATTATTTTTTAAAAAATATATATATTTATTTAATTATTTTTTTGATAATTATAATTGTTTATAACTGTAAATTAATAATTAATAGAAAAGTATAAAACATATAATAATTGATAAAAAATATATAAATTAATGCATTATGAATTCATCCATGTAATTTTTTAATTACTTAAAGTTTAATATTATACTAAATAATTAGAAATGAAATTCAACTAGTTAATTTTTTTAGAGAAAATATTAATTATAATTAAAATATTAAAAATACAATATAACTGTATTTATTATTATAATACTGTAAATATATAAATACTTTATTTAATTATTATAAACAAAATTATTTTAGTAATTACTTCTATCAATATACTAACATTATAAATAAAAAATTTAAATATTAGACTTAAAATTTTGTTTTTTAATTTTCAATTTTGGATAACAACAACAATATTAATTATGATATTAGAAATACAAATAACAGTTTAAATTTTTGTATTATTAAACTAGAATTATAAATAAATTTTTAATAAAATTATTTTTTTTTAAATATACATATTTATTTAGTTATTTTTTTTTTATAATAATTATAATTGTTAAAAACTGTAAGTTAATTATTACAGTATAAGTATAAAACACAAAATTGATGCAATAATATATAATTTTGACTATTATAACAAATGATATTTAATTTTTTCAAAAATTTAAAATTAGACTATAAATAATTAGAAATAAAATTCAACTAGTCAATTTTATTTTAGAAAATAATAATTATAAATACAATATCAATTTTTGCTAAAACTATTAAAAAAATATTTTAGATTATTTTTATGTATTTAATATTATAATACTGTAAACTATAAAGACAAAATAATAAAATAAAATTTATTTAATTACTAAAAATTAAAAATTCAGATTTAGACTTCAAATTTGTTTTCAAAAAAAATATATTAAATTAAATTTTTATTTTTTCAATTAAAATTTTATTTATTTATTTTTAAAGATTATATATTAGTCTACGAGGAGTCCAGCGAATCATTGGCAGGAAAATCGGAAAAATATCGTAAAAAATTTCTAAAAAATCTCCGACAACTGGGGATCGAAATCGAGGAATCGGTAGTTAAAGGATCGGCAGCTACTGTACAATACCAACAACAACAACATACCGGTGCCCGTCATCGCCAACAATATGAAGATCTAACTGATAGTACTAGCAATCGATACATACATTTTGTCAAACTATACGTACCGTTCCCAGTGATGTGCACCTATGCTGAGCACCTGTGTCTACGGGCACCCTTACAGGCACTACCTAACAATCCAGTGGACAGTTATGGTGGCGGTGGTTCAGATAATAACTGGTCCGATCATGTATTTCATTGGCTACGTTTACCGAATCCAATGTACGATTATGTACCCAACCGGCCCCTAGCTTACTATACCTGTCCGTTTAAAATGTCTAAACTGGGGAAGTTTGTCGGTTCCGATGACCCGCACCTGTATTTTCAAACCCAACAACGTATACGTGTTATACACGATATATTGGAGTCGACCCTATTTGGTAAACGTAGCCTAGCACAGTTAGGTATTAGTCGATTGGTTGAACAATCAGTATTTCAAGCTGCCTATCCACTACATGATGTATTTTATATATTTTTTTATATATATATATAATTATTTAATTATTTAATATTATTATTAGGGTTCGGCAGCGGCTAATTCCATCCCATGTTTTTAAATACCCTATTTTTTTCCTGACCCCCCCCCCCGGGAAATTCCTGATGGGAATCTATTTCCTTGAGCTCATACATAACAATACATTTTTATTTAAGATTTTAATTAATTTAAACTGTATTTTGAATGTTATTTTTTAATATATATATAGAGTATGACTAAAATTTAGTTTCTAAATATTTAAGTTTAAAAAAATTTTTTAGCAACAAAAAAATAATTGTTTTATTTTTGTTTGTTATTATTTATTCTAGAAATATATATAGAAATATATTTTTTTACTATTTTGTTTTTAAATGTGTTATGTGAGGGAAAAAATATTTTATTTTCCCTATTTTTCCCAGAAAAAAATATTTAATTTTACATTATTTTTTCCGAAAAAAAATATTTTATTTTCCCGGAAAAAACATTTTATTTTCCCTATTGTTTTCCCAGAAAAAAAATTAAATGGATAATATATTTAGGGAACTTCCCAATTCCCTTATACAAGTTGCCCGAACTCTAATTATTATTATTATATTGGATATGTTTATACAGGATTACATTATGTGTTGTTGTTTATGATTTTTTAAGGGCCAGTATGACTGTCCCCGTCAAGTGTCTGAACCGCAACACCTAAACAAACGTCAAATATTGTATCACTATTGGGCCCAATGGTCTAAATGGTATAAATATCAGCCATTGGATCATATAAGGGATTATTTTGGCGAAAAAATTACCATATATTTTGCATGGTTAGGTAAGTGGTGTTTTACTGTATATTTTTATGTAATTAATTAATATACAGTATAACTTATAATTAATATATATATACTGTATATATAAATATAAATACTATATATGTTGATTATAATATATTATAATAATACATAATTTATGTTAATGCAAATTATTAAAAAAATAAATAAAATATTTATTATTATTATTTATTATTATTATTATTTATTTACTAATTAGTATTTATTTATTTATTTATTTATTAATTAGTATTATTATTATTTATTTATTAATTAGTATTATTATTAATTATTATTATTATTTATTTATTAATTTATTATTATTATTATTTATTAATTATTATTATTATTACTTATTTATTAATTATTATTATTATTATTATTATTATTATTATTATTTATTAATTATTATTATTATTATTATTTATTAATTATTATTATTATTATTATTACTTATTATTAATTATTATTATTATTATTATTATTATTATTATTATTATTATTATTATTATTTATTAATTATTATTATTATTACTTATTTATTAATTATTATTATTATTACTTATTACTTATTACTTATTTATTAATTATTATTATTATTATTATTATTATTATTATTATTATTATTATTTATTAATTATTATTATTATTACTTATTTATTAATTATTATTATTATTATTATTACTTATTTATTAATTATTATTATTATTATTATTATTATTATTATTATTATTATTATTTATTAATTATTATTATTATTACTTATTTATTAATTATTATTATTATTACTTATTACTTATTACTTATTTATTAATTATTATTATTATTATTATCATAGGCTTCTATACCAGTTGGCTAATACCGGCCTCAATAGTGGGTGTATTAGTATTTTTGTACGGCTTGTTCAGCATTAACAGTGATATACCATCGTATGTATAAAAAAAATTAATTATTAATTTTATTAATTTTAATTAATTTTTTTTGTGGGGTCTATACTAGTCAAGAGATATGCCAGAGTGGCCAACAGTATCGGATGTGTCCGACATGTGATGAACACCAGGGTTGCCAATACTGGTCACTAAGCGAAACCTGTCTGTACTCACGTTTGTCGGTAATGTTTGACCACTCGGGCACTGTATTGTATGCCGTATTCATATCGTTTTGGTGTATGTATACAATAAATTTAGTTTTTTATTTTGAAAAAATAATATTAATAATAATTTTAATAATTTATTTTTTTAATTATAATTAATTAATAAAATAATTTTGCAATCAAACAATATTTTAGAGAGAAATAATAATTTTAATAATTTTAAAATTAACTTTTTTTTTTAAAAAAAAACTAAAATAACTAATATGTCATTCTAAATTTTATTAGTAATTTATATACAATATATATTAGTAATTTTTAAAATTGTAATTTAATTACAGTTTTTTAAAAATAAAATATCTTATAACTAATTTTTAATTATTTTTCATATATTAATAATTAATTTTAAACTAATTTTTTATTAGTTTTAAATGAATATACTTCATAATTAATTTAATTTAATAATTATTTTTAAAAATATTATATAATTAATTAATTAAATTTAATTTAATTTAATTGAATAGCCGTAGCATTTCTAGAGTATTGGAAACGTAAAAGTGTTTCACTGGCACACCATTGGGGATCAATTGACTGCAATGAGGAGGAGGTATACAAAAAATATATATATAAAATATTTTTAAAAATAATAATATTTAATTAAAAAAAAATAATTTCAATATTTTAATTAAAATTTCAAAAAAAACAACATTTTTTTTGAATATTTTTTTATCAATCAGTTGTAATTGAGAAGAAAAAAAATGTTTTTCAAATAACTATTTATTTGATAAAAAAAATACAAATCATAAAATATATGTGTAATTTGTTTGTCTATTGTTTTATATAATAACACTTAAAAAAAACTACAGTATATATACAGTACTTATTTTTATTAAAAAAAAATCTCAAACATTGCTAAACAATTTTATTTTAAATATAATAATCTCTAATAACTAATTTAAACAAAAAAAAATTTATTTATTTGATTATTAATTATAATATTTATTTTATTTTTTTTATTGGGTTATAATTAGAGACCGCGTCCGCAGTTCAGCGCCAGAGCACCACATATTGAACGCAATCCGATAACCGGTACTAAAGAGCCGACATTTCCGAAAAATGTCCGCTATTTGCGTATAACTGCCGGTTATATGACTATTGTTTTAATGGTATTTATCAAACAATTATATTATTTTTTTATGATCACTAAATAATTAACTAATAATTTTTTGTTAATCATCAAAAAAAATACATAAACGGACAGTTAGTATTGGTATTCATATTTATGATAGCCGTCATCATCTATCGGATAATCCTAGTATCCATGCAATCGTATCAGTCGCCAGGTATGCGTAACATATCATCCCTGATCTCAAGCTCTACCGGTGCTGTAGTCAACCTAATACTGATTATGAGTGTCGGTATGGTCTACGAAAAGCTTGCCTACCGTCTCACTGAATGGGGTATAGTATATACTAATATATATATATATATATATATATAAACTAGATTTATTGTTTTAGTAAAAATATTTTTTTTGATTTAAAATTAAAAACTAAAGTACTAGTATATAGTAGAAATTTTTTAACTATAAAATATTAGATAACTAATAAAAAAAATTAATTACAATTATAATGTCAGTTAAATTATTTAATTTATAATTTGATTTTTTTCATATGTTTTTAGAAATTTAATTTTAAAAAAATTATTAATTTAATATAATTCATATTGTTTTGGTGTATATATATATACTGTATACAAGAGATTTAGTTTTTTTTATTAAATATTAATTATTAATAATAAAATTTTTCAATAATTTAGTATAATAGAGAAAAATAAAAAATTTTAATTTTTAAGTTTTTTTATGTTAAAAATAAGGAATTCAACTTACTAAATATTATTTAAAGTACAAAAATACATTAGTATTTTTTAAAAAATATTAATAATTTAATTACAGTTAGAATTTTTGTTTTAAAAAAAATTATTAATTTAATATAAATTATTATTTTTTAAATTTTTAATTTTCAAAAAAAAATAGAAATGCACCGGACACAATCAGAATTTGATAATCAATTGGCATTTAAAGTGTTTATATTTCAGTTTGTCAACTTTTACGCATCGATATTTTATATAGCATTTTTTAAGGGACGATTTGTCGGACGTCCCGGACAGTACGGTACCATATTTGGTTTGCGCAACGAGGAGGTATGGAGTTCGCGTCCCGCATAAAACTCACCGATTTTTTTGTGAGTTCTATAATTTTTTTTATAATTTTTTTTACAGTGTAGCACCAGTGGCTGCCTGATGGAGCTAACCCAACAGTTGGCTATCATAATGATTGGCAAACAAGTTATCAATAATGCCCGTGAATTGTTGGTACCTATGATACAGTCATGGTATCATCGGCAACGTACAGGTAGTGTTGGCAAAAAAAAAATAGAAAAATTTATAAAAATAATAGAGAAAATTTCTAGAAAGTTAGTCTAAAAGAAATTTCTATCTATGGGATTAATTTTGATCTCTACAACTATGGTATATATATATATATAATAAAATGAGTCAAATTTTATCATTAAAACTGATTATTATTAAATAATTATAATTATTTCATATATATATATATATTCATATATATTATATATATATATATATATATATATATATATATATATATATATATATATATATATATGTATGTATCCTATTTAATAGTCTACTATATAGTATAATATTATATGTATAGTATTAATATAATAGTAAATTATTACAATAACTTTAGATATATGGGGATCCCATAGTATACACAATAAAGTTATATATTTTTTTATATATATATAAATTTATTCACTTGAGAAACTTTCTAGAAACTTTATTAACAGTGAATAAATTTATTAGAAACTATCTAATTGCCCCAACTCTAGGTATCGAGCACCGGGATCATCGACAGTATACACGTTGGGAACGTGACTATCGGCTGATTGGCTACGACGGACTGTTTGAAGAATATCTGGAAATGATACTACAGTTCGGGTTTATTACGATATTTGTGGCCGCCTTTCCACTGGCGCCGTTGTTTGCGCTGATAAACAATTGGTTTGAAATACGACTGGACGCACATAAACTGGTTTGTCATACCCGGCGACCGATACCCGAAAGAGCCAACAATATTGGCGTATGGTTTCCGATATTGACTTTTTTGGCACATTTTGCAGTTATTAGCAATGTATGTATGAGTTATTTATTTATTTTAATTTTAATTTTAATTAATTTTATTACTAATTAAGTAATTTTATTACTAATTAATTTTAATATTAATTAATTAATTATATTTTTTTTTATTTTGAAAAAATAGTATTATTATTATCAGTATAAATTAAATTTAATTAAAGTTAATTATATATTTTTTTTAAAAAAAATTATACATATAAATAATCATATAATTTACACATTTTTAAAAGTCTATATAATTTTTTTTTATAAAAATATATAAATTTTATAATTAATTAATTTAAAATTTGATATATAAGTAAAACTGTAGTTTTTATATCAAAATAAAATTTTAATATAATAATTGTTTATAAATTAGAAATTTTAGTAGACGCATCAACACCACAATTTTTAGTTTTTTAAAATATTTGTGTTATTTTTATTTTAATTAATTATATTTTTGTTTGTTTGAAAAAAGTTATTATTATTATTATTATTATTATAAGTATAAATTAAATTTGTAAAATTTATTATAAATATTTTTTAATAAATTTATAAATACAAATTAGTATATAATTTACACATTTTAAAAAGTTTATATAATTTTTTAAATTACATATTTATAAAAGAAATAATAAAAATTTAAAAATGATTAATTAATTTTAACTTTGATATATATATATATGTAAAACTGTAATTTTTATATAAAATTAAAATTTTAATATAATAATAGGTTTATAAATTATAAATTTTAGCAGAGCTACCAGGCCAATATAATTCTTATTTATTTCAAAATAAATTAAATAAATATTTTAGTTGTAATTTATAATGAAAACTATTTTATTATTTATATAATTTTTTTTTAAATTTAATTTTATAGGCATTTCTCATAGCATTTACATCGGATTTTATACCGAAAACATTATATCTGTACGAAATGTATGGCTCCGATAGTAGCACATCGACAGCATCGCCATCATCAACATCGACGGCATCGTTGTCCGGTTTTGTCAACTTTACTCTGGCCACTGCACCCGCCGGTACAATGAACCAGACATGTCGGTATCGGGATTTTCGTGACCCCAACGGCGAACACACGGTATTCTACTGGAAGCTACAGTTCCTACGATTTGTGTTTGTCGTAGTGTTCGAGCACCTGGTGTTCAGTATATGCCGATTGATTGATCTGGTAGTACCCGACATACCCGGCGATGTTGAAAGGAAAATCAAACGGGAACGCTATTTGGCCAGACAAGCATTGACCGATTCGGCACTGGGATCTACCACTGTTGTAGACAATGATGATGATGATGCTGGTGATGATGCTGGCAATGCTACTACAAAAGTTGATGATGCTGTTTTTATTAATGTTAATACCAATACTACTACTACTAATACTACCAGCGATTCCCAGTTAGTTAATATTGATTGTACTGGAAAATAAGCATGCTACTTTTTGTTTTGTTTTTTTAAACAATTGATTTTTTTAAAAAAAAATATTTACAGTAAATATATAATTTTTTAATAATTATTTATTATGTTTTTTATTAAAATTATTATGTTAAGTTTATTTTAACAACAACAACAACAACAAAAAACAATGTTTAAATGTATTTAATTAAATTTAAAAAAAATTTTTATATTCAATATATTAGTTATTAATTGTTAAATCTAATTAATTTTACTGTTAAAATAATTATTAATTTTGTTTTTTTTAAAATTTAACAATATTATATTTGTACTTTTCATATATATTATTATTATATATTAATATACAAATATCCAAACTGTGTTGTGACTATAAATGTGATTATATATCTATATATATATACGTAAAATCAATCTATTTAATTAAAAAATATATTAAAAAATAATCATTTATTTATTAAATAAATTGTTAAAAAAATAACATTATTATGTCTAAAATAAAAAATATATACAATATATATACCAATATTTATATATCTATTAATAAAAACTATAACATTATATAATTGTTAATTATAATTGTAAATTATTTAATGTAATATATAAACTATTATTAAATAAAAATTATTATTAATTGTTATAAAACTAATTGATTTAATTAAAACTATAATATAAAAGTTTAATAAATAATTTATTAAGGTTTTTTTTTATTTCTATTGCTTTTATACAGTTTTATTTATTTAATTTGTATTTAATTAAATTTTATTGATAAATAAATTTGTTAAAAAAAATAGATATCATAAAAATTATAAATAAAAAAACAAATTTAAAATAAATACTAATTTTAATATAAATTTAAGTAATTTAAAATTTGTTTAAATTTTTTCTTAACTAGAATAATTTATTATAGGAAAATAACATGAAAATAAATTTTTAAAAATCTAATCTACTAAAATGTAAACTTAATTAATACTTATTATTAAACAACAACAACAAAAAACAAGTAAATTTAGTTAAATTTATAATTTTATAAAAAAAAATATTTTTACAAATGATTTCTATTATTTTATAAGCATATTAAATAGTAAATATTTATTTTAATATTTATTTAAATATTACAGTATTTTTTCAATTAATAATATAATTGTTATTTTTTATGTTTACACAAAAATAACTAAACTATACTGTAATTTGAAACATATTGAAATCAATTTGATTTAAATTTCAAAAAAAATATTAATTATTATAACTAAATGTAAAAAATAATTATAATTTATTTTTTGATATAATATTATAATTAATTAGACAAAATTGCTGCAATCAAAATTGTATATATATTATATTAATATTGAAAAATTAATATTATATAATTAATATTGTCTTTAAAAAATTGTGTTTAATATATTGATATAAAAAATTATTTTGATTATAATTAGATATTATAATAAGTTATAACAAATAGTTTTTTTTGTGTGCATATAAATTACTATATATATATACTATAATAGATATAAATCAATTATTTTATTAATTATATATTATATCATAAAAATTATAATAGTTTTCTAATAATAACTTTATTTATTTATTTATTTTCAAAAAAATAAATTATAAATTTTAATTTAGAGCAATTTTAATAATAACATTGAATGTTATAATTTTTTTAAAAAAAATAATAAAATAATAATAAACAAGTAAATATTAATATAAAAAATTTACTTTAGAGAACTTACTAAAATTGGTTATAAGTAAAATTAATATTAAATTATTTTCTAAATTATTAGAAAATATTACAGTTTATTGTTGATAATTATTTTTATTTTTAATAATAATTAAATTAATAATATTTTTATAATTATTACACACAGTTTAGATATTAACTGAAAAAATTAAATAATAGTTAGTTTTAATTTTAATTACAATTGTTATTTATTTATTAAATATGTTTTATATTTATAGATTAGATTATGTTACATTTTTTTAATTTTTAATTTTTATTTCATCTAGGTTATTGATAATGTTATTTGGTTTGTATTGCTTTATTATACTATATTTATTATAAAATTAAATAAAACATTAAATCTAATTTATTTATTTAATTAAGTTTATTAAAAAATATATTTTTTTCTAATTAATATTTTCACTAATAATTGACATTATTTTATATACTCTCCCGTTTTAATATTATATAATACTACCCTGAATATATATGTATATATAAAAATATGTAAACTGTAAATTTATTTACATTATAATATTTTAATATAATTAATTATTTAAATATTAATTAATAGATACCATTATAAGAGGTTTATTATATTTTTCTTATTAATTAATTAAACATTTTAATTATTAAAAAATATATTAAATGTATAAAATTATTTAAATATATTTTTTTCTCATATTATTATTATAATATAAGAATAAATACTACTATAATATTAGTAATGTTTTAATAATTTACATTAAATTGCTATAATAAGTTACAACTATATTATTTTAATTAAATTAATTAATTGTAATTTTTTTAGTTGACAATGTTAATTTATAAAAAATATATAATTTTATTAGTAGTAATTAATATGAAATAAGTTATTTTATTTTTTTTTTAATTAATATCATTTAAATAAATATATTCTAAGTAGTAAACATTTTATTTAAATACAGATAGTAAAATTAAAATTTAATTTTAGTTAAATTTATAATTTTATTTAAAAAAAAAGATTTTTTTAATTTTAAGTGAATAGGATACACTTATTTTTTATAAACTTATATTTTATACTTTTAGTATTAAACAAACAAAAAATAACAATTAAATTTAGTTAAAATTATAATTTTATAATTTCATGAAAAATAAAATAACTTAGGTTAACACTAATATAGTATTAGCATATGTAACATTAAAATATGATTTTAATATTTATTTAAATATTACAGTTTTATTTTTGAAAATTTTAAAATATTATATTTTCTTCAATTAAAATTGAATAATGTAATTTGTAAATTTTTAAGTTTAAATATAAAATAAACTATGTAAAGTTTGAAATTAAAACAGATTGAAATCTTATTGATTTATATAATTAAAACGATATTTATATTATAACTAAATGTATAAATAATTATAAATATGGATAATTTATAATTATAATTTTTTTTTCTCGACAAATTGCTGCAAACAAATTGAATATACTATATTAATATTGAAAAATTAAATTATATATTAAATTTATTAAATTAGTTAAATATATTGAAAATTAAAAAAAAATTTCTAATAATTTACCTATATCTCAATATTAGTTTTGATGTTTTTAATTATATAAATTTAATTGTTATATTAATATACTATATATATATTTGAAAAATTTACAGTACATACAAAATAATAAATTGTTTGGAAATTATATTGTATATATATATATATATATATATATATATATATCAATGTTTGATTTTTAGCTATGATATACTGTATATATATAAAGTTATAAATTTAATTAATTAATACTAAATCAAACAAACAAACAAAATAGGAAACATTACATACAATATAATAAATTGTTTGGTAACCATTGATCGACTATTTTGTTTATGAACTACCCGTCCATATAATTGTTGATAATATTTACGTTCAGCTAAATGTATGCTAAATTTATTATCATATTTAGTACCGATTGCTTCATAAATTGTTTTGCTAGTAATCATTAAATGTGTTTTATTATAACAAATCAAATCTATGTAATCGTTTATATTAGTACTGAATGATATCTAATCATTTATAATTATATTATTATTATTATTATTATCGATATTAGTTATTGCTTTTTTAATTAATTTTTGTTCAATTTCAGTACAATTATTCTGAATAATAATAATTAAAAAAATTTAAATAATAATTATTAAAATATTATATATATATATATATAATGTATTGTATTTCTGTGTATATTTGTTTAAAAATAAGTCATATATTAATGCATATTAATAATTATATTTAAATTATTATTAATATATAAGTATTTACTATTATATACAATTATACATATAAAATACAATCATATTATTCAATTATATGTATATTTGTTAAATTGAAAAATTAGAAATTAAAATAAATTATTTATTTTCCTAAATTTATTAAATGTATAAATTATAATTTAATAAAAAAAACTAGATAACCTTGATCAATTCAATTTCCTCATTACTATAAAATAATATTGTATTCATTGAATTATCCATTAGTTTATCTAAATCTTCTAACGTATCGATTGTTTGATGCGATTGTCGTATAGTTGTCGATAGGATTTCATTGTTTAGGAAATTAATGGCAAAAAACTTGACAACAAGTAATACACTAATAATTATTAGATTTTTAATCGTAGTATTTTTAATAGTAACACCTATTAGATATATATATATAAAAAATTTTATAATAAATAATTATTAATTAAAAAAAATAGTGTATTAAATATTATTAATTATTAAAATTTTTGTTATTACCATCAAAAAAGATGTTATTTATCACTAACCATAAGTTTGTAAATATTAGATTCAAATAATATTTAAAACTGTATTATATAATAAATAAAAAAGTATAATAATAATAATAAAAACATTTTTAATAGATTTAAACCACAAATACAAATAATAAAAAATACTAACCTTGATGATGATATATTTGAAAACAACATTTCATTACATATCAATATTGTTGTACAAAATATAACACTTTGTATCAGTAAATACCAAAACTTTTACAAAAAAATTAAATAAATAAATAAATTTATTAATTATATATCTATAACAAACAATTAATATTGTAAACTAATCCAAAAATATATATAATAATATATATAAAGATAAATAGATAATATAGAGATTATATTTGACTTGAATCTATTGAATATATTTTATACTAATAATAATAATAAAATAAAATTATTATATATAGGTATAGATAATGGATTATAGATTTAAAAATATTTATATATTTTAATAAAAATTTACTCTAAATGTACAATAT